TGTCATTCGACAAAATCGTACCTGTGGCGGAAAATGTTGCCTGCATTAAAAAGTTCGCGATAAAGCTGAGATTTATAAAACGAACTTGGGCTAAGTTTATGCTAGAAATTAAATTCAACTTTGAGTTTATTTGTAATTTCTTACTTAAACTTAGGCAAAATTCTCTGTTTTTGCTTAGTAGAAGTTAAAGTTTGTTTTTTGTTGACTTTGAACTCTTAGGCTGAGATTTATAAAACGAACTTTGCCTACGCTTAAGCAAAAAATTGCGAAGTAAACTCAAGGTTCAATTTCATTTCTTGCTTAAACTTAGCCCAAGCTCATTTCATAAAAATGAAACTCACTATTTTTGCTCAGGCAAAGTCAAAGTTCGTTTAACTTAGCCTTTGTTAACTTTATGCAAGAAATTACGGAGTGATTTCAAAGTTTAATTCACTTTCTTGCAAAAAAGGTTGGCAAAATTCGTTTTGTAAATTTGAAAAATTCGGTTAACCCACCATTTTTGTTTAGGCGAAGTCAAGGTCTGTTTTATAAATTTCAGCCTTAGACTAGGATTAGCTGGACGGGTTACAGGGTGAAATAAAACACACGACACATTACTTTACGTTTTAATAAAATTATTTTACGTGACTAGTTCTACTTTCTCTATGCACTTCCTACCGTAATTATACACTTGAAATAAATATTTCTCTTGATATGAATTGACGTTTGGAATGAAATACATAAAGTCCAAATTGCATTTTTTTACAATCAATGTTTGTCGATACGTACAAAAATTTAGTTCTCTATGTATATTTATTCAGAGGCATCTTACTTGAATAAATATAAACGTTTATTGACAGGCAATTAATAAATATGAATAAAAATTTTGGTAATAGCTGTTGTTTACATAACGATGTGTAATACGCTTGTGTTATTAATATTGTTAGCGAGAAATAGAACTACGGCTTAAATATAAAAGCTACCAATTATACCGTAATAATACCGATACCTACCAGATCTACCAGAGCAGTGCGAAGACATACTTGATACTTAAAATTTAAATTCAATTCTATGTCGTTAACGATAAGAACAATCCACAGTCTAGTTGTAAGATCTTATATAATGAGTCATGTGGCAACCGATTGAAAGAATTCACGGTATCATTTTATTTAACACTATGCCAGACCGTAGTTGCTTATGCTTTTCACAGATAGGACATACGTAACTTATACAGCATTTCAGGTACCTTAGTAACGCTAAAGAATATAGAAGTACACCGTCGCATTTGCCTGTTCTGTCGCGTTTGTAATGTTCAATCATGTCGACTTATACATTGTCATATGAGTTTTAATAACAGTTGTCGGCTAACGATTCAACAAAATATTTCTTTATGGTAAATTGTACAGTGCCCCGAGCGATGATAAGAGAGTAAGTGCATTTGCACACTACGCCCGATTCATATCTATTAGAAATGACGGTCCGAAGTGTCGCAGGCATCATTTTATCTCTGCCTGTAACTTTTTAACGAACAAGTCGTATGCCTGATGATAAGCTACACGCCTATCCATAACAGTTGCAGTGCCACTCAGAGCTTCAAATCGCAAAGATCTAAGGGGCACTGCTACTGCCCGTCACCCTGAGACATAAGTTTTCAAGTCCCATGTGCCTGTAATTTCACCAGCACCCTTAATGTTAACATTACTGCTTGGTGGCAGAAATAGGTAAGGTGTCAGTACTTCCCTAGACACAAGGAGCTTTACTGCTTACAAAATAACTAGATTAAAAAACTTCCTCTGTGGACGGAAGGTTACCATGCTAGACTGCCACGCAGAGGTTTGGGTTCGATGCCTTGGCCGAGAGGAATATTTGTATGGCCTACATCTGTTTCTGTCGTGACTTTTAGTGTAGTTTATTGTTGTCTTAGTGTGTATCCATGGCACCCGCAATACACGGTTTCCAAAGTGCGGTGCTATGAGTGTGTGCTAAAAAAAATCTCTAGGTTTACAAGCGATATTCGTATTACCTCGGATTAAAAGTGGGTTCGAGTTTTCTTGATTTGTATCGTCTTGGATTCGAACGAATATGAATTGGATACAGAGCATAAACGCGCTAACGTTTTATAAAACCACCTATTTTACTAGCCAGTAACTGTCACTGTAAACTGTGATCCGAACGCGTCGCACCTTTGCGTTTACGCACTTAGGTGAAGATAACCTCTCGTCATTGTGTTTTGTAGAAAAGGCGCAAGCGACATTTCGTAGATAATTTTAGGTGAGCATGTCTTATAACTTAAACTTATTTAAAAGCAAAATTGAATTTTAGAACAGGACGTGAAAACTTCAAAACAATCATTGGAACCTGAAACATGCTACCCTGAAAAACATTACGAAACGTCGCGTACGTCCTTTTTACAAAACACCGATGATTTCTCAATGCCACCACAGCCACAGGTTGAGATATACAAACTGTCGCGTTTATAAACTGATTTTTAACAGTGTGTAAAGCTTTCTGATTTAAAATTATATACTGCATATCAAAAATAAACAAAAAACAAATTGAACGGTCATTTTCTGTATTTTTTTAAGTTCTTCGAAGTTTATTGGTACCGAGATCCGTAAAAAATGTTGTACCTGCTTAGTTTAAATTATTTAATATTTTTTGTAAATTAGAAAAAATACTTTTAGCCTCAGCTTATTTTGACCAGGTTTTATGTCGTTACCAAAAGTCAGATCATTTTATTTTAACTTACTTATAAGCTCCATAATATAGTTTAATCGTAAGAGCAGCAACACTTATTTACCAAACCCTGAACAAATTAAACCCACCTTATAATAATAATACAATTTGTAAAATATAAGAATATGTATCCATTTCTTAACATACACTTAAAATTTATAAACTTTTTAAAATTTATTTACACTAATTTTATTTTCGAGTTCCTTAATTATATCACTAATTTTGATGTGGTTTAAAACCATAATAGTTAAAATATTGGGTAGAATAAAAATAAAAGCACTTACAACACTTAATAAAGAGACAGTTCATATAAGTTTAAATAACAAGTTGTATAACTATAAGTATATGAGTTTGTAAGAACTGATAAAATTTAAAAAAAAAAACAAATAGTCACCTAATAAAAAATAAATCTGAAACAACCTTAAGTTCTTACACTTTCTATGGTTGAAGGTTATACAGAATGAAGAGCAAGTCGTGTTTGACACTTAAGATTTAAATTCAACTCAATTAGCACTTGCGTTAAGAACGTCCAAATTCCAAAGCATCAAGCTTGATCTGCTCACGAACTGTACGTCACGTTCATATTTTCATACAAAAATTTTCCGAATGTATGTGGTCAGATGACATTGTTTTTTTTAGTAAATATTAATGTGATGTAATCAATCAAAGAACAATTAAGTACAGTAAAACATTATTTTATATAATTACAATTAAGCTCAATAAAAAAATTACTCATTATGTCAAATGCGCAATTATTTTATGTAAGAAAAAACTAAATTATATATTAGCGCAGATGTAACGTTATAATTGCTCACACTACATTAATAATTAATTATACAGGGTAACGTTTGGATATTTCATGTATAAACTTACCGAAATTTGTCTCAATACAAAAGACAATACACCACTAACAACTCACACTGGCGCAGTGTCGAAGTCCGAGTCGTCATGTTTTTCGCCTATAGCATATTCATCTCTATTTTGCCATTATTAAGGCACAAATTTGTGTTTTGTAAATATGGAATCGCGAGTCGCTTGGGCGCCGTGAGGCGTCAAACGCCGACCACACGCTGATCCCGGCGCACTAATGCGAAGTCGCCAGGCGGTGTAGTTGAAAAACTAGACGCGACGTGACGCTTCGACTCAGCGCCAGTGTGAGTTAAGCCTAATAGAGATGGAAAAACTGCTTATAAATGTTGGACGTTAAAATGTTGTACTTATTTAGAAAAGCGTGTTTAATAAATAATTTTTCACTTAAGCGCTTTTATGAGCCTTAAATTAACTGTGAATAGATTGGTTTTGATACAACTTTCGGGTATTTCTGTTTTATATTTTTATTAATGAGAAATTTTAAAATGTTATATTGATTGTTAGTACTCATTACATTATGATGTTTTACTACTATGATAATCATATATTTTTTGAGAAAATACTCCACGAATGTGTTATAATAATTAATAAGAAAGGTCGAACACAAAGAAAAATAGCTGCGATCTGACGGGACACGAACCCGTGTCTATTTTGCCAATCCAAGGCAACCGCTCTACCAACTGAGCTACAAATGACTCGGTCAAGACTCAAAAGTCTCGACTGACCATAGCTCAGGTACAGTCTTATGAGTGTCGACTGCCTTATTAATAATTTTAAAATGTTTTCCAAAGAGTCCATGCGATTTTTACCACCAGAAAATTTTAAACAAAACTACTTTTTCTTTTTAAATGTTATATTGTCTATGGTCGTGTAAGAAATAATATTTTACCGCGCATTTTAAGAATAGGCGGGAAAGTTTTAAACGTCAAATGAATCGTAAAGATGTCGAGTTTCATCAAGATAATGCCACACTACACACATCTTTGCAACGCCGTCAAAATAAGATAAGTGCAAAAAAACTTTTGCACTTATCTTGAGATATATTACCTCACACACGGTCTTTGCCCGATCTAGCCCCTTCATATTTTCACTTGTTTCGGTCTTTGCAAAATTCTTTGAATGAAATGACTTTGATAACGAAGAAATCTTATTGTTTTCTTTGATCATAGCTTTTATGGTGCATTTTTAATTAAATTCAAATATGATACTTTGCCTTATTCTTTCTTACTTCTCTGTTTGAAAATTACAATTATTCACCGTGCGGTATTTCTTAATAATAATACGGGCTACACATTCAGAAATACACCCAATATTACAACTAAGACAGAAAAGTGATATTTAAATTTAAAAAGAATGTAATAAAAAAAATTAAAAATCTATTTTTTTCTAATATTTTACAAATGTTTTAACATAATCCTAGAGTAAATGTGGTATATAATGACCCTTCGATTTTTAATTAAAGATACTTCTTAACCTGTATCCGGTAACCTGCCTGGCACCAATTTTAATTGTATTGTGTTGAATCCTTGATTGTAATATGATTGATTCTAAATGGCTTCCAGAGATAAGGTGTCACAGCTTCTCCTTTTTCCGAGCTGGTGACAGAGCTGCGGGGAACCGACGATGTCGCCTAAGAATACGCTAAGTAGGTAATACTCCTTGGCTTGATCGGGAGATCTCTTGTATTGGCTGTGGACAAGGAAAATATTGGTTATTTTCATTGACACTTTTTCCATTAACTTTTTGTATATCCGTGGTATATGATTCGGATGGACCCTTCCATTGAAAATCAGCATTATAGCCTATACTCTTACTTAAGTGAGACTCTTTTGCGTACATCACAGCCGCACACATGTCAGTATAGTAGTATAAGTTGTGTAGTAAAAATTGTTGTTCAAATGTTTACTACGTTGTTTTATGTGTTATGTTTATTTTTATTTATATTACTTTAAGTTCCTTTGTTTCTATCCTATTCTATATTTAGTACCGTTATAACCGATATCGCAGTATCGAAATTTCACTTTGTAAGTCAAGCGCTATTGACACATACCAATGATCGCTGGCATACACGCAACTCGACGGGTGGTTTATAGACGTCAACGTTTATTGACGTTAGTATAATTATTTTATTACATTCAATTAATAGCTTGTAGAAGAAACGTTTATAAACGTTTGCATTAATATATGAGAAAAATATTTGCAATAGCGCATGTTAATTGTGTTAAAGAGCATAACTGACTTCATAAATCAGATTTATTACTATAAAAAGTCATATGTGACGTTTTTTACGTCAAAAACAGGATTTCTCTTAGTAATGTACGGAACTGTGCCCTTATTACATAGTTCAACAAAATAATATAATAACACAAAAAAACAACTGAATACAATTGTGCCCTTTAGTTCAATTCATGAGTCAAGTATTAAATCACATTAAAATTAGTTACACTATGAAGGCTATAACTAATTTTAATGTGACTTTTAATAATGTAACTGCTTTTATAAAAATAAATAATCTAATAAAAATAATAAAACCGTTATATTTTTTTTCTACTAAGTTCAAAGAACAAATTAAATATTTTTAAAAACTGCTGATTAAAACACAATGAAAGTTTCTGTATAACATGTGGTAAGTATTTATAACACAAATAAACTACGTAATATCAAATGTATATTTTAACTATTCTTTTTATCAGAAAAGCCTAAAAAATATTTAAACACATTTATCTACGAATTTAGAATTTGCTGCTTGTGCCTTTCTTTCTTTCGAAAAGATACGATTATATATAAGATTTCGAGAAGGAGGTTTGTCAGGAGCGTAGCAGGTGGAGTTCCATAGTCTCTGTCCACCCCCATAGGACACGCGTGAAAATATGCATGCTTGTATATATATAATATCTAATATTTTTGAGTAGCAGTAGAGCTCCTAGTCAAAGAATTCGTCCAGGGAAGCACTGCCGCTCTTGGTCTGATCTTTGCTATTTAAAGCTCTGAGTGGCACTGCCACTGTTATGGACAGGCGTGTAGATTACCATCAGGCACACGACTTGTTCGTTCCGTCACTTGATATTATAAAAATATATATAAATAGTCGATCTAAACATAACGATGACTGAAGGCTTTAGCCGGTCGTACTTAACATTAAAATAAACGTGTTTTCATTCGGAAATACATACATGCACAATAACAATTTTTTTTATTATCACCAAATAGCTTGTAACGTAGTTATTAAGATGTACATTTAGAAGTACTAACGGCTTTAGCCGGTTGTACTTATCATTAACTTAAACGTATTTATATTTGGAAATACAATAATAATATTTTTTACTGTCACCAAATAGCTTGTAATATGTTATTAAGCTGTAAATTTAGTAGTACTAACGGCTTTAACCGGTCTTTCATTTCATAATAACGTTTTTTACTTTTGCCAAATAGCTTACAACATATATGTAGCAACTATGAGCCTGTAAATTTAAAGATGCTAATAGTTTAAGCCGATCGTACTTATCGTTAACATAAATGTTTTTACAATTGGACATACATGCATAATAATAATATTTTTATTGTCGCAAATAGCTTATAGCATTCGTTTGTATAACATGTGTTAAGTAACCATTGCTTTGTGTCAAATTTTAACCACAATTATGGTCTTTTTTCAATTAAATATACGTATTATTTACTCCGCACAGGTTATGTAGGTCATGGTATGTATGTACTAGAATAATTATTGAGAATTATTTGTCCGGACTTATGAGTGAAATGAGCGTATAAATTAAGCATTACATGACTACTATGTGTATAAGAAAGAGATACAATAAGAATTGCATCCCAACAACAATCGTGTAATACAAACCCACTAACAAGTAATGCGATGATATACATACCATTGAAACAAAAACCTTATTACCTATTAACATAGCGATAAATATTATTATAACACTGCACCGGCTGAATCATATACACAAAGCAAGAGGAAATATAATGCAAAGTCGACTGAAAACCGTTGGGTTAAGGCATAATTTTGATTGGCAATGTTAGAACAGTGAAAGTACTGGCGGTTATTGCATAATACCGGTTCACCTCGGACGTTGAACGTGGTGCAGTTTTAATTCACCATCCATTGAAAACATTCAGCCATACTTTTATATATATTATAAAACAGATTAAAAATTTTACAAGTGACAAAAATGTATAAAGGACTTTTTAACCAAAATATAATCTTCCACAGACAAAACGCCGAATTTTTTTTTATAACTTTTATATTGCATTGAACTCTAAATATATTTTGCAATAAAAAATCGATTATGTAATCTTTGGAGTTACTTACGAACACTTTCATTTTCCAGATTGCGCAATAATTTTGTACATGTACTAAATACCGTTTCCCCTTCCCCTTCAATATTAATTTGCATTAAGCAAATAGTACCTACGTACCAAATTGAGATGTAATTGTCCATAGCCTAAATTTCTTGGCACAGCGATGACCTTGCTGAATGCGATTTCACATTTTAATGATGATTATGGCAACGGTAATGACTAACTTGATCAGCGATTGCTAAATTCCTGTCATTATAAACAAATTTCGACAGTTTAAGAATTTTGTAAGTTATTTTTTATATAAAATGGACAGTGTAAGTATTGTGTGTCTAGTAGTATTTTTATTCATTCACAGTGCCACAATTGCAATGCATAGAAAACATTCGCAAATTGCAATTGCAATAAAAATCGCTACGTTATGGTATAACACCGTGTCACACGTAAATGTACTACAATATCTTCGCAGTTGCTGGACGAGTATGTAAAGCTGAGATGACCCAGCTAGTTGCGTGACTATTACATCGGTGGCCTACTTGCGAATTTGACGACCGACTGACGAGCTGTACTACGTTGTACGAACGCACGAACATACGAACTTCTGCTGTCAAAGGCCTGCGCAGTCTACTATCTAACTACGACAATCACTTCCACTAATTTGGTAAATTTAGCATTCGACCTCCATCTCACCTGATGATAAGTGACGAGATCTGCAATGGAGCATGTACACGTGTACAAGGTTATTTGTAAAATACTAACAACACGACAATATTACTATCATCAGCAATAAATTTGTTCCATGATTTTGAATAAATCTAATAGCGGCAGTAGAGCTCCTTGTGAAAGAGTTCGTCTAGGGAAGTACTGCCACCTTGTCTACTACAGCCGCCAAGCAGTAATGTTAACATTACTTTGTTCAAAGGTTTTGATGAAATTACAGGCACATGGGATTTGTCAACTTATGTCTCAGAGTGACGAACGCAATGGCAGTGAGCCTCAGAACTTTGTGATTTAAAGAGCTGTGTGGCACTGCAACTGTTATGGGCAGGCGTATAGCTTACCAGGCGCGCGACTTGTTCGTCCCGTCACTTGATATTATAAAAAAAATTTCGTCACATTTTACACACATACGTATGCTCACGCCCTAGTCCCACAGGAGGGGTAAGCAAAGACCACTTTCCTCTATCCTGACACATTTTACTTTTGTAAATATTTCAATAGATAACGATCTAAACGGTGACAACTCTACGCATATGTTTTGTAAAAAGACGTGGAACAAAAGTTGTTGCTTATGAAGTTAGCAATATAGTCCTGCGAGGTTGTCAGTGTTTTACAAATCAGCCTGTATAATGCCTATTCACTCTCGTCCTGAGACATTTTAATATTAAGCTGTTATAGAAGATATAACACAGTCCCATTACAAAGCTCCTACTTTAAGTAGCAACAGTATACCAATTACTAACCATAATTTAAACTGAAAAACACGACAACAGTAAAGTCTAATCGTTTCCATGTAGTACATCAGAATATTCAAGCCTTTTCTAGCAAAACATTAGAAATAAGTGTTTTTTGCACGATATTTCCGTTGACGTGTTTTGTGTTACAGAACATTGGCTGAAAAACTACGAAGCAATTAACAACTTAGAAAATCATGGAATAGTCAGTTCGTTCATAAGAAAGAACTTAAGTAGAGGCGGATCTATGATTATTATTAACTTAAAATTTAAAGAGCGTAAGGATATCACAGATCTTTCTACTGAACGAACTATTGAGATTTCATGTGCGGAATTGGATCAGTTTGTCGTCTTACGTGTATACAGGCCCCCCTCTGCTAATTTTAACGAGTTTGAATTAATTATGGAAGATAGTTTAAATAGGATTTCTCCAACCAAAAGAAACGTAGTCATATGTGGAGATTTCAATGTAAACCTGTTGGAAAACTGTTCTACTTCTGTAAGAGTCTATATAAGCCATATAGTAAAATGAGCAAGAAAGTAGACCAATTTCTCTGCAGACCGATTACCACAGAACCAATCGTTACATTTCAAAATAATATCGGCAATACTTTAAATTCCCTACCCCATATACCGGAGGTTCCACATACTTTATATAGCACGATATTTGGTTTAATTAGAAATGAATTTGATAATATTTAAATTTAAAAAAGTATTTAAGTAATGTATTTCAATCGAAAACAATAACTTTCCATAGACAGACTAAATTCAACGACTGGGCAACAGTAGCTATTCATAAGAGTAGGTCTCGTTTGTATGAGCTATATGCTATGAAAACTTATAATATTAGGGGTTAAAGTATGAAATTGCCGTTTTATTGCAATAGGTTCTTTGAATTTTCATAGAATCTTCATGGTTTGAGGT